GAAGCTCAGCATGAGCTGCAGTGTGAGCTCAGCCCAGAGAGCCAGTCAAATCCTGGGCTGCATCCACAGGAGTGTGGCCAGCAGGTCAAAAGAGGTGATTCTCCCCCTCTACTCTGCTCTCATGAGACCCAGCTGGAGTACTGCACACAGCTCTGGTGTCCTCAACATAAGGAGGACATGGAACTGTTGGAGCAAGTCCAGAGGAGGCCACGAAGTTGCTAAGAGAACTGGAGCATCTACCCTGTCAGGACAGACTGAGGGAGTTGGGGCTGTTGAGCCTGAAGAGAAGACTGCGTGGAAACCTCATAGCAACTTTTCAATATCTGAAGGGCCTTGTAAGGAGCCAGAGAGGGACTCTGTGCTAGGAACTGCAGTGACAGGACAAGGGGTAATGGACTCAAATTGAAGGAGAGGAAGTTTAGGTTAGATATTAAAAAAAAGTTTTTCCCTGTGAGGGTGGCAAGACGCTGGCCCAGGTTGCCTAGGGAGGCTGTGGCTGCCCCAACCCTGGAGGTGTTCAAGGCCAGGCTGGATGAGCCTTGAGCAACCTGATCTAGTGAGGAGGTGTCCCTGCCCAGGGCAGGGGGTTGGGGCTGGATGATCTGTAAGGTCCATTCCAACCCTAAAATTCTATGATTCTATGATAAGCCCCAAGTGCCCTAGAGACCCTGTCCTGCCCAGAGCTGCTAGTCTGAAAGGGTAATTGGCTCTGGAGACATCTTCAGATACTCTTTATGTAAGCAGTCAGCTCTTCCTTCAAAAGGCACCGAGGAAAGGGCCCTGGTCTCAAATCTGGAGTTACAGCCACAAATGCCCTGGTCTGAGCATCAGTGGCACACAGAATCCCCCCCAGCACACACAGCTGTGGTCAGAACATGGAAATGGATTTGGGCACTTTGATCTGGTTGCCAAATGCTGACCAGGAGAGGAGACAATGGTTCCTTTTTTGTTGCAGATTGAGTAACGAGTGATGCCACCAGAGTCACAGCAGCATACCATTCTTCAGGGAGGAGAAGAGAACTTCCTCCAACATCTCTCAGCTGCAAGAGGCTGGGTCAGAAGCCTTTCCCCCCCTGTTTAACTCAGAATTGCCCCATCTTCCCAGACTGTGTTGCTGCAAGTGTTCTTTTTGAAACTCCTTTACAACAACCAAACAAGTAAATCCCACACATGACTTTGAAAGCAGCTAAGCAACCACAACTGAGATCTTTGGCAATTGCAAGGGTAGAACTCCCTTTTAATGGTGTTCTCTAATTTCTTACAATCTCTATCTAGATTGCACTAGATTCCCTCATTTTCTAACCATAATTATTGACCAGCACCTGTATTCTGAGGTTTGAATATGCACTTTGTGATGGAGATGCAATTTTTCTTTGTAGTTTACACTAGAACAAATTATTTCCAACTTGCTCTCTGAACACTTAGCACACCAACCTTCTGCACAGGCTCTGCTGATGCTGCTTGCACAGCATTTAGCTTCTTGTTCAGCTCATGCTTCACCCAGTGCTCTAGGAAGACATTCTGTTTCATGGTGAACACGTATGTGGCATAGGCAGTCAGTAAAAGGAGGCTTTCCCACCAATCAATGACACTGTCTAGGAAAAACAGGATGAGCATCAGTAAGTCTACAATGTAGAATGAGATGTCTCTAAATAAGGGCCACCATGTCAGGTGGAGTATCTCCCTTGAGAAGAGGGCACAGGTGCCAATGACAAAGAGGATATTAAACACTGCTGAGCCCACAATGGTACCGATGCCGACATTGCTGTGTGAGATGAAGACACCTATGAGGGAGGTGAAGAGTTCTGGTGCTGATCCACCTGCTGCCATGAAGGTGGCTCCAGCCACATCTTCAGAGATCTGCAACTTCTCTGTGATCACTCCCAAAGCAGGGACAAAATACTCATCACACACTATGGCCAAGGCCACAAATACATACATTATGCCAAAGATGTGAAGTACAACCCACCCTTGCCTGCGTTCTTCCACACTGAATAGATCCTGGGGATAGTCTCCTTTGGACTTGTGGGGTGGTTTTTCATCTGGGTAACTTTCACTGACATTTTCTTGCTGTGGTGTTGTATTCACTGATATAGTGACGGGCACAGCTGGCACAGGATCCACATATATACAGTGCCTTATTTTGGGTGCTGTGACATTGCCTCTTAGAGAAGTCTTGTTGCTGGGGAGGTCCCTGGAGGTCACTCTGACAGGGTCCATGGGTTGGAGGGCTGTGTGTGATGCTGGAAGGGCAGAGGGGCTGAATTGGAGCTGACAGAGAGAGAGGATCAACACTATGGCAAGCAAGAAAAAGATCCTGTTCCTTCGTAGGCGCCTTCTCCGTGGCAAATGCATTTCCTAAAGGCTCACAGATCAGAGCTGTGTCCAGAAGCCACTGAAGACTTCTCTTGATCAGCAGTTTGCATTTATATCCACCATTGGACTTTCTAGCTGATCTTGAGCATCAGGAGTGAAACTGCGTAACATGAAATGTGGAATCCTGCAAAAGAGAATCTGGTGTAAAAAAGCACTGCAACTTTCCAACCTGTGGGAGCAACACTTCACTGGCTGCTTGTCTATTTTTCAGTAAAAGGAAATGGACTGAAATGAGTTTTCTTTGTTATTGTTTTATGACTGTAAGCTATCCTGGTTGATAATCAAAGGTTTGGCTTAAGAGAGAAGAGTTGGCCAAGACAGTCCAATCCAAGACAAATTCTGATTTCGCTGCACATCCACACCCAGGAGCTGTTAAGGATTATGTTTTTACTGGAGTCCAGTTGTTATTCTATAAGATTAACAACTGGGTCAGTGTTCTGCAGGAGATGATACAGCTTCTATCAATTGCTAGAAATTGTACTCTGAAGACAAGATCAAACCTCCCTCCTAACAGACCACTGAAATAATCTCAGCAGGAGCATGGAAACTGCTTGAGAGTTCCCAGCAATGCTGCTCCCTGGCTCCAGCCCTGCACCCCACAGGGAACCAACAAAGCAAGGGCGAGTTATCTCCCTCAGTTTGAGAAGAGCCTGAGGTTCAAGTAAAACTGAGGGTGCTGAACATCCTTTTGTTTCTATGACTACATCTTTTCAAGCCTTTCTGTAAAAATCAGAAGTGGTAAAGTGGAATAGTAATCACACCTTTTATTAGGGGATAATTAGCACATCTTGCATAATTAGTTGAACAGCATTTAGAAAGGGAGAGGAATTATAAATGCCAGTGACAGAGCTTGCAGCTGACACAGCATGGAGACAAGGATTTGGGGCTGTACAGAATTTACCCTTCAGCACTTCTTGGATGTTTTACCTGAGAATATCCCTCCTCATGGATCATTTTTGCCCCACACAGTAGGAATGTTAAATTATTCTTTAGCTGGATGTGAATCATAGTTTTCTAAACCATTCTCAGGTAAGTTCTTCATGCAAGTTATGACACCCTCACCCTCTTGCATAACACCCAGAGAAGTGGGTAAATTTCTTGCAAGACAGGCATTATTATCTTCATTTAAATAGCTGGGAGGATCACTAAGGCAACAGTAATAGAGGGTCATGGGAGTGCCTAGATAAATAGATGATATAAGCTTTGCTTTTCATACGTAAAAAGAACATAAACATGCATATGGCAGAACTGCATAATAGGTGTAACAAATTGCTCAGTGTTAGAAAAGAACCTTGCCTGACAAAGATAGGAGAGGTAAAAGAGTGACACAGAGAGAACACAGGTGTATGCACACACTATTTAAACACTGTGTTTACTTCTCCTTTCCAAAATGAACTGCTTAAAAGACTTCTGTGAGCAGAAAGATATTCAGAGTTAGGATTAATTCTAAGAGCTCTCCAGCCTTTCACCATTCCTGATCACCTCCTTTTTTCTCTAGTCCTGCAAGTTTAGCTGCTCTCTTACAGGTCAACTCCTGATCAGCTCCTTTCTCAACAGCTGGTCCAAAGCAATCAAGCAAACTCCCACAGCTTACCTGCCAGAGATCTGTCCAAGAGGAAGAGGAGTTCCAAGGGTTGGGTGCAGAGCTGGAAGCTTCTTTGATAAGAAGCCCTTTGATAAGAATCCACAGCCAGGTGGGAGATGCTGTTGCAGAGAGAGGCGGATGAAAATGATCCCATTTTCCTGCTGTCTCCTCTGCTGGTGGACTTCTAATACAAGAGAGGGTCAGGTGTGAAGGACATGTTACAGGAGGAATAGCCAATCCAATTTAATACCCACAGTGCCTAAGAAGATTAAATAGTATTGTATAGATTTGGGTCTATGTCTGAAGCCAATATCTTTGCCTGCTACTGCAGGTTATTCTCAGCGTGAGGGCAGGTGATTATCTCTGTTACAAACTGCTGGATGAAAGTACCAACCATGAGACATGTATCACTCTCACAGGAGAGAGCAGCAAGGGGTAAATCACACTTAAACAAGGCACATGTAGCTTCATTTTGAGGCATGGCTGGCAGGCCAGATGCCAGACAAGCAGCTCTGCTGGCCTTTGCCTCAATGTGCTCCTACTTTGCAATGCCAGAGGGGAGTTTAAAACTCGTTGTCTCCTGGGAAAATCCCTCAGCTCCTGCAGCAGGAGCACCAAGATAGAGGGAGGCAGCAGGGCCATGGGAGTGCCATGCCTGGGCAGCCCCTCACTGGCACAGCAACCTGAGGGTGGTGTCCATGACCCTTCTGTGGCACTGATATTGTGCAGCTCCACAGAGGATGAAAAAAACCATTCCTGGCCAAGGATTTAAAAATAGTCATAACAATCATAACATTGTTAATCATAACAACCCAATCAGCAGATATATCACAAGGGAATTAGAAAATCATGATTTAATTTTTGACAAGAAACACATTGAGGGCTGGAGCACAAGTCTGATCAGGAGTGGCTGAGAGCTGTGAGGCCTCAGCCTGGAGAAAAGGATGCTCAGGGGGGACCTTATTGCTCTCTACAACTCCCTGACAGGAGGTGCAGCCAGGTGGGTGTCAGGCTCTGCTCCCAGGAAACTAGCAACAGGACAAGAGGAAACAGCCTTAAGTTGTGCCAGGGAGGGTTTAGATTGGATAGCAGGGGAAATTTCTTGACAGAAAGGTGGTCAGGCATTGGAACAGGCTGCCAGGGCAGAGTCACCATCCCTGGAGGGATTTAAAACCCATGTGGATGTGGCACTTGGGGACATGCTTAGTGGTGACTTGGCAGTGCTGGGGAATGGTTGGTCTTAGAGGGCTTTCCAAACCTAAACAGCTCCTATGATAATTTTACAGCAAACTGTTGTCTGAATGGACAGTTTTAGGAGTACATCCAAGCTTTGCAATGGAGTTTGTTGCCTCCCACCCCTCCTCACTCCTGCATGTACAGAACTGGAAGAAGGAAGCCCAGTGCACAGTTGGGATGCTTATCCAGAAACGCTTCTCCGTGCTTAGCAGTCATTTACATAGCAGCACTACATTCCCACAACACTCACAAATCAGTAACAGTGTGGCAGCAGGACTAGGGCAGTGCTCATCCCCCCGGACTGGGCACTGGGGAGGTCCCAGCTCAGTGCTGTGCTCAGCTTTGGGCCCCTCACTTTAGAAGGACATTGAGGCACTGAAGCGAGTCCAGCCAAGGGCAACGAGGGCAGCAAAGGGGTAGAGCACATGTCCAACGAGGCTCATAAATGGTCTAGAACACGTGAGGAAGGGCTGAGGGAGTTGGTTTTGTTTAACCTTGAGAAGAGGCTCAGGGGTGACCTCCTGGCTCTCTCCAACTCCCTGCCAGGGTTGGAGAGAGGTGGGGGATGTCTGTCCTGCCATGGCTGCAGGGAGAGGACTAAAAGGAATGGCCTTGAGCTGAGACAGGGCAGAGTCAGATTAGATGTTAGGAGAAATGTTATCTCTGTTAGGGTGTTCAGGCACTGGGATATTGCCCAGGGAGGTGGTGGAGTCACCATCCCTGGAGATGTTTAAGAGGTGTCTGGATCTGACTCTGGAGGATATAGTTTAGGGCTTAGTGGTAACAGCAGTGACTAGTTAACAGTTGGACTCCAAAAAAAATAAACTTGTTTAATTATCAGATTCAATTTAAATACAATTTTTAACATGTATAACTGGGGAGAAAAATGTGCCAGCCAAATGGCTCGTGGTAGAAGCTGGTATGTTTTCCCTGACCTGCTTGGTACTAGAGTGATGTGCACTGCTCCAGGACCATTCCCACCTAGTTTCCATATTTGCACAGGATTTCTGAAACTTCAAGACCACATGGTGTTTAATGACTAACCAAATCAGACACTTACACATCACATGTGTGTCACTAGACTCTGTTCTTGGGCAACATAAACTGTGTGAACTTCATTTCTCATGCAGTGAAAGGACAAGTCTCTGAGTGCTGCTGCCAGAATGGTAATATGTTTGAATGCAGTCATTATCCAATCAAACAGTGGAGAAACCCTGGGAAAAAATCTAGGTGGAACATTTTCCATTTCAAAGTGGTTTTATACACTTGTCTTTTAACACAGAATACTGCATGAAAATGGGAGCCTTTGGAATTTGTGATTACAGATCTCCTCCAACATTACTGACTCTATGACACTGATACCAGATAATCTAAGAGCACGGCTCAATCTTTCTAACCCTTTGGAATCACATATTTGACTCCTTCTGTGGCTTTGGAGGCCTGGAATTCACAGAAAGAAAAATAAACATGCCTCTGATTACATTGTTTACAGCTCTGTACCATTTGCACCCTCCTCTTGTCATATATGACTTTCAAGTAGTTCTGTTGCTTTCAAAGTTCTTCATTATGTTACAAAATTAGTAGTGTTAATTGGTGAAAGGAACTTATCTAAGACTCACTGTCTGAGTAAGTCTCAAAGGGAGAGTTGTTGCAAGGGACCCCAGACAAGAATGTACCCAAGGACATAAAGCTCACACCTATGACCAGCTCATCCTGGAGCAGTGCAGAGGAGCCAGCAGAAGTCAATCAAGATCAAGACAAGGAATTTTATAATTGCAAATGAGATAACAAGCTAAGCCAAGACCACATAGGGAAGGAAGACTCAAAGCTCATGGAAAGGACACTAATGGACATCTTTCCAACAACCCCAAGGGACACCAGAGACCATCCAAAACCCCCATGGAAAACCCCAAGAAGCCACCGACTCACAAGTGGACTAATTAGCCTAATAAGCGGGAGAAACACTCACTCACAGAGGACAGACTACTAATTAATAAGAGTCAGGTAACCTGTGACCAACAAGCACTAATCTCTGTGTTTTCTGCAGTGTACAGACAGTAAGAAGGTTGGACAGTAGGGACGCAGCTTGGAGGAGCATCATCCCCCGTGCGTGCGGCGTGGGAGCTGCTGTGAGCATCCCCCGTGCGTGCGGCCTGCT